AGGTTGGCGTCCCATCCTGGGTTGTACCCGTAGCTTCCAAGATGGGCTCCAGACGATTTGAGACCCTAAGACAAGAAGTCTCAGAAAATGGATGGATGGATGTTTGAATATTAATTATTTTAAGAATGGTATTTTTTAAATAAATAATATTAATAATTAGTTGTTTACATCAGACTATTTTTGTGAGATACCATCTTATTTTTTAACCGAAAACTTAAAAGGGAAACCTGTTTCAGGGGGCCAAATATTTTCCTAATGGGGCTGCATATGGCCTGGGGCCGCCTTCTGCCAACATACGATCGAGATGTTCTGCATGTGCTTTCATTGGATTTATCACCTGCTTATCCACAGATGCCCACATGAGCAACTCTTACTCAGATAGCCAGCAAAGGGGTCTCGTCTTCATTCCACGTACAGCCTGTGGGTTCCCCTCCATATTTCACAGGTGACCAACCCCCCCCCCCCACCCCAGCACTGTCCAAATGCTTTTTATATACACATTTTAGGAGGAGCACAGCATAATCATACGTGTCCTGCTGGATGCTTTGAAGAGACTCTAAAACAGAGAGGAAACCTCATTGACATCCTCATGCGAATAGTGTCACATTTCATTAAAAGGTAATCCATCCATTAGCTGCTCTCTGAGAACAAAAAGGAATTATATTTATTTATTAAATGCTTTTAGCCAAAGTGATGTACATAAAGAAAGCAGAGTCAGCTGGGCCCTGGAGCAATTGGGGATTAAGATCCTTGTTGAAGGGCCCAACTGTGAAGCTACTGTACAGAGCATGGGATGTGATCCAGCAAACTTTCCACGCACTGGCAGAGAGGCCTGACTGGCTGAGCCGCATGCCATCCCTGGCAAACAGCCTTTGGACTGCGTCACTGTGCTTTTTGTGACACCAGCCTTCATAACTAAGCATCAAATATGCCCTGTTCCCTACTCACCTCACAAATAGCAACATTCGGTGTCGTGTTTGCAGAAAACTGAGGTCCAAAAGGGCAGCTTGAAGTCCGGGCCTCGTGTCTGCTCCTTACTGTCCCAGATAAACCGATCATAGGCCCCTCCGTGGAGAAGCAGAGAGATCTAAGATACTTAGAAAACCCCAGTGTGACTGATAAGCCTCTGACTGATGCACACAGAGATTGTGTGGGAGGAAGGGGGGCAGATGATCAAACGTGGGACAGACAGCTGCTCTGAATGGGGTCAAAATCACCATAGCCATTAAAAATGAATTTGCTTTTCACAGGATTTCACTCAGAAAGCGTGAAATTTGATTAGCCCGGAAAGTGAGCATGAGATTGATTACTGAAATGGGTCCAGCACTGGCTGCAGTTACCAAAACATCTCTCAAATGAGTATTTCAGATATCATTGAGAACTTTAACCACCTTTCTGCTCAGCGGCTGGCTTTCTTGCACATGGTGGGTGGTCTTGGGCAGAGGGGGGGATCCTTCCTCTCTATGACTCCAGTGGTTACGTGATGTTCACAGCCAGATGAATCACAGACTTAGTCATTTTGCAGACTGTGTTCTGTGAATGAAACTTTTTATAGCCTCCTGTGTTGTAGCAAAGCATCATGGGATTAATAGGATAGAATTTGTACCATCCCCATTTGCTGGGGGTGGCTCAGCAGGTCAGGCTACTGTACTTATAATTGGAAGACTGTGGGTTCAAATCCCTAGGTTAGTAGAGTAATTTTGCTATTGGTTCTCTAAGCAAGGCCCTTAACCCCCAAATGCTCCAGGGATTGGCTGACCTCGCTTTCTCCAAAAACATTATGTCACTTGGATAAAATGAGTAAAAAAATTTAATGTAGTACCATGATCAAATTTACAGACAATTTAGTAACCAAGGGAGGGCATCTCTGTTTCAGTATACCTTGAGACTTTTAAAATAGTGAGTGTCCCAGATCTCCATACATGACCCTTAGCCAAGAGGGAGTCGTGTTCCAAAAAAAAAAAATGTTCTGAAAATTTAGCCATGATTCCTCTGCGGCTGCCTATACAGATGAGACCTGCAGGAATGCTGTGTGTGCAGAGCGGGGGGGTAGGTAGGTACGCTGCGGGGTTTGGATCACATGGTGTTAAGCAGGACACCTCGGGAGGAACCCCAGAGAGGGTTCAGGGAGAGGACATGGAGGCTGCTTCAAAGGCACCTGTGCTGCACCGATACCGGACGAGCTGTCAGCCGCAGAGCGTTTCCCAGCTGCCAGAGCAGAACCGCACACTGCGCTCCAGAGACTTCCTGCACATTTACTGTTGACGGCCAAGAGAAATTAAAATGTACTGTATGCAACCCTGTACCATGACCCTTAATGACCTGCTGCTTTGCACTGGGAGGTTCTCACTGGAGGATATTTTGAAGTGACCTGGTATGTTGTACAGAACACACAAGATCTTCCCCAAAAATTGCAAATTTTCATATTCTGCTATTTATTACCACATGGGGGGGTGTGAGGCTCAGCGGGTTAGGACACTGCCTGTAATTGGAAGGTCGCCAGTTTGAATCCCAGGGTCAGCAGAGTGACATAAATGTCAACATGGAGATGTAAATGTTTTATTTTGGTTCCACATCAAGAGAACGCGCAACCTATGTCATTGACCACAGACGGGAAAAAAAAATAAATTTGAACATATAAATGTCAGCCATTATTTCTCTCTTGACAGGCTGCCTCTCTACACCTTTCATCACAATACTTCAGATCTGGTTGTCATGGAAATGGTAGTCATGTGTCTGCACAGATATAGTGTCCTCTCGTGGAAACGGCCACTCTTATATGACTAGTGGTGGCTCCACCTCAGCACGTGCACCTGAATTCCATTGACTGGATGTTCACCACCTGTGTGGAAAAGAAACAATTTGCTGGGACTATTTTGCAATCTGGCATCTGTATGCTAAATGTAATGTAATGGACTGTGTGGTACTGTATGACAAAAAATATAAAGTCCATATAATAGACTTTAAAAAGTGCAACCTGAGTTGAAGTGTTCAGTAATTAGGCTGAGAATGTATTCGTGTGACTTCCCCCCTCAGCCCCAGCCTGAAGGTGCAGAGGCCAAGCGACACAGCCAGTGGATGGAGATAATGTGGACCCTGATAGATCCTGACATGTCTGTCGCTTGTGCTTCCTCACTGCACCTGCCTGCAAGGCAGAAATGCACAGTGACACAGTGAGACCTATTGAGAACAGAACATCTGCTGATTTAAATAACAGAAACGTGTGTGTGTGTGTGTGTGTATCAGGCTTTCTCCGCGTGGCCTTGGGGTCGACAGGCTGTGCTGCATACCACCGGATCACCTGGCCTCTAAGCTGCTGACTGGAGCAAGATCCAACCAGCAAATTATTCACACCAGTACAAACCAGACCATACAGTACCCTGTGTGCTCGCTTTCAGTTCTGGGCGCAGTCTGTGACTTAGTGGGTTAGGACTTCATACCTATGATACCTTTACCTTTACCTATGATAGGAAGATCACTCGTCCAAATCCTAGGATCAGCAAAGAATCACAGTTGGGCCCGTGAGCAAGGCCCTCAACCTCAACTGCTCCGGGAACTGACTGACCCTGCTTTCTCAGTTGCACAGTATTTTGCTTTGGCTAAATAAATAAATAAATGAATGTTTTCAATCCAACAGATCACTCACTTCAACAAACAAAACATTGGAACTCAAAAAAAAACACCTGTACAGCCTGTGGACCTGCCCTCCCCTGGCTGGTGGGTGCGTTAGGACTTCCGAGGTGTCCCTAGTGCCGATCGCCAGTATGCAGCGTGGAATCCATGGTGTGCCGCTTCATTCTCGCTCTCCAGGGACGGCCGGGTGCCTGTGCTGATCCGGACGTGCTGGTGATTCGCACGGTTTGCCCACACAGTGTTGGCACTGGACACACTTATCAGTAACCCGCTCACGAGTTACAGGTTACAGACAATTTAGTAACCAAGCTTGGTGGACACTTGGCCAGGTGTTTAGTTACTCATGCTGGCTGAATTCCACCTCCTCCACGTCTCACGTGATGCACTTGCAGACCTGTGTGGCTCCGATGATCACCCCGTATATTTAATGACATGGCAAGCAAGCCAGCCGGCAAAGCCCACCTTCCAGCAGTCACACAGTTAATGAGAAGAGTAGCAGCCGCACGTTAAACTGTTAAACCTCAAGCACATATACGGTGTTTAAGTTACCATGGTAACATTTTTATTAAATTGACTTTAACTGAGAAGTCAACATCCCTCTCCAGACGTGGTGAGGCACAGAGAATCGCCACATGACGGACCTCCTACAAAATGCGGGGCTTTTTCATCCTACAAAACTGCCCTGACCTAAATTAAAATATTCAGGATTCCAGATGGTGATATGTTCAAGTCCCAATAGGAGGTGGAGACTGTTACACAGTAAAGTGGTGGGGGATATTACTGCTGTTCCTCTGTTTTTTAGTGCACTTCTAGAGGGTTCATCCACTTGGGGAGGGGGGGGGGGGTTGGGGTTGGGGTGGTCAAGCAGGACAGTTATTATTGGTTAGCGATTGCGTAGTGGTAGAGTGAGACCCGCATTCAAGCCTGGGGGGCGTGTGTGGCTCAGAGTGCTCAAATCTCAGGGTTGGCAGGGTGATGTCACCGTTGGGACCCTGAGTAAAACCCTTAACCCCAATTTCTGTAGGAACTGGCTGACTCTGCTTTCTCAAAAAATTATGTTGCTTTGGATGAAAACGTCTGCTAAACATATAACAATACCAGCAATAATAATAGAACAGTATGAGACATCAGTGTTGCATCCGTTCCCCTTCATTACTCTGCCAGTGGGGAGGGGGGACACTGAAAAGCCTGCAGGTGGAATTGCTATCCCTTGCGCCAGAATTCAGCCAATCCGCTCCGACTGCAGGCATGATTCAAATAAGCGTGTTGCATCACGGCCACCCATCTGATTAGGGTACAGTCTGAGGTAGCCTGGGGAGGACTAAGAGGCCCCCTCACAGAAGAAACACAGCAGGCCAGCCCAGTGATCCAGCATCAGTACTTTTACTGTCAGGTATTATAAATAAATTTCAAATTTACAAATAGAAAATATCCGGTCTGATATACAGTATTCCAGCATATTGCTGTTTCCTTGAAACTGTACAGCGCAAATCTGTAGCAAACCGCCTTACTGACCTGAGGGGCAAAAGGATTTACTAACAACCGTCTGTCTAAACCTCATGCTACATGGTAGCAGAGGTAAGCTGAGTCCACAGTGAATTCAAACTGCAAATAAACTGCAAAATGATCCTTTAAAAATGTCAACCAAGCGTGGTCGATCAGATGCTGAAATACCCGGAAAAAAAAGTTAACATTTTATTTCATGTCTTTATGTGAGAGACTTTAAGGACCACCAGATGTTCATGACCACCTTTGTAGATGTTCATGATCATGATCAGTCTTTTCTGGGACTTCAGATGGATCAGGCATCCCTGTTCATCCAAGGGATGGCAGTAGCAGGACCTCACCAGCAGAGGGCCTCACCTCCAGAGCACCCTCATCATGAAGACCTGTCCACCAGCAGGTTAGTGATGCTCCAGCTCTGACCAGAGCACTGCTGGAGGGCCAGCTGATACCCAGACTCGCTGTCGCTCTTCTCCTTCAACTCCAGACACCGCTTAGACTTCTTGTTCTGGATGGCGCCTCCCTAGTGGACAAAAGGTGCATAACATCACCCCATGTTTGAGCCCAGTACCTACAGCACTATGCCATACTCATCCATCCAGCTCCCTTAGGTTGATGGGGGGGGGGGGGGGGGGGTTCTGGTTGCTCCCCCAGTGTAGTGGCTGTTTGTAGCCAGCAGGGCTCCCCCCAACAAACCTAAGGGCTCCTACACAAATGGCTTGAGCGGTGACATCACCACTGAGTGTAGCTCGGAGCTCAGGATACATGCACTATTAGCAAAGTAACAGTGGCTGGGAATCTGTACATGTAGCGTACAAACAGCCCCCTTTCTACATGCCCCTCTGGTAGCCCACCCACCCACTGACCCATGAATAATAACTCATTGAAAGCTTTAAAACAAGGCTATTCAAATCACGGGCCAGTCACTGCTGATTTCCCAGCCTTCCTTTACCTGTCAGCCAGGTGTGAAGCCCCTCTGGCCAATCAGAATCAGTGATTATTAAACTAACTATCTGGGAGAACTGAAAACATGGCCTGGATTTGGAATCAAGGGCCAGATCTGAAGAGCCCTGCTTTAAAAGGACCATCAGGGACACATCAAGCTGCAGGAATCGGACTAAGGCTAAGGCTTAAAAAAAGACTAAGGCTTTTTTTTTTTTTTTATTTAAGAAAGCATACAACTGCTAAGATGTCATACTTAGTAGTAGTGATATTATTTTGATTTTATGGATATTTTTAACTTTGTTGTTTTTAAATGTGGCACTTTGAGATTTTGTTAATGAAAAGTGCGTTATAAATAAAATGTATTATTATTATTATTATTATTTAAGGACCAGCCTAAGTGTCAGAGAAGGTCTAAATCTGAGGAGCTCTGATAGCAGAGAGACCCCCATCCACAGCACAGTGGGTTGACTGGGGTCAGAAAGCGCGACATGCAGACAGATGGTGAAGCCCCCAGAGAGTCCCGCGTGAGATTCACCACACCCCATACCAGAGGTGGAAAGTTCAGGTTCAGAAAGTACAAATCCTGACCAAGATTTTGTTTCAACCAACCAGTTGAGCATAAAGAGTAGTGAAATGGTTGGTTGAAACAAAATCTTGGTCTGGATTTGTACTTTCTGAACCTGAACTTTCCACCTCTGCCCCATACCCCCCCCCACAGCCTCGCTGACCTGAATGAAGAGCCACTCGAGCTTCATGCGGCGGGCCCTGGCGTAGCCGCACTCGAGGAGCCGCGGCTTGCCGTTCACGTCCACCAGACACTTGTTGTCGTCGTCGTCGATAGTGGGGCTGAGCACACCCATGTGCAGCTGCTGGCTGCTGGTGTAGTACACATTCTGCGGGGACACGGAGAGTGGGAGCGTTTAGGAACGCCAAGCGTGCCGGCGGAGATGACGTCCCTAAACGCAAGGGCTTCCAGCAGTTAGGACGTTACTAAACAGTAACATCTGGCATTATGGGGGTGGTGTGTTGTTCAGCAGGTTAGGGTGCTATGCATGTGCTCGGAAGGTTGTGGGTTCAAATCCCAGTGCCTGGACTTTACCCTCAGTTGCGGCAGGGATTAGCTGACCCTGCTTTTTCAAAGAAAGGGTTGAAGATGACGTGACGCCTGGCAGCAGACTTCATTCCCAGAACAGTGACAATGCAACTGTGTTTATATCTGAGCAAATTCAGAGCTACAATGGAGTTGAAAATGAAATCAGCCTCAATGGGAACACAGGAGCTGCTAGCGGGAGATTTATAGACCAGCCCATGGAGACCAGTGATCTAGACCCCCAAAGGGACGACCACTGTTTGTCATGGTACACAGGACCGCTGCTGCTTCAACTTCACTGTGCATGAAACATTACACATTACAGCTATATTACAAATGTGTCTATTAAATGTATGTCACATATGAATATGATACATATTTGTGTATTTTCATCTAGATGACAGTCATACCCTGACAAATATAAAGCCCCCCCCCAGCCCCAGTGGTCCCCACCTCCACTATTTTCTGGTTTTCGCTTAGAGAAATGGCCTCAACTGAACATTTTATTGAAAATCTCAGATTCCACCTTGAATTAAACATCAAACACACTCCGGAGACACACTGTAGCTTTTCACACACGCCAAACCAGGTGTGTGCGTGTTCAGCAGCACGCGTGTAGAGAGACATGTGTGGATGTTTTCTTTGGTGCTTGAAATGAGAAAATCGTGCTCATTTAAATGATGTGTTAATTATTTCAACAATTGATTACCATAATTATGCTCCGGAACATTCCGCCTTTCTAATGCGATTTTAATATTGCAATTCATTCAATTAACAGCTCGGTGGGGGCTAATTAGGGGCTTACTCAGCTGGAACACAGGGCCAGGAGGTCCTCTGGGAGCTTCTCTGGAAGCCCAGGAGGGCCGGGGGTGCCACGGGTGGTGAGGGGGGGCTTGCAGATTTACACAGACAGAATGCTAATCCACAATAGCGTGCTAACTGCATCACATTCCAATAGCGAACTAAAGAGATAAACACTGCCCTTAGAATCAGAGGCACGTGTGCATTTCCTTAATACACCTACTGGCTTAAAGTTAAAACAGACGAACCCAGTAAAGAGACACAGAAGACCCCACAGGGAAGTCGAACATGCGCAGCTCTGCTGTCAGGAGTCGGCCGGTTCAGCTGCCGCTGTGTGACTCAGTCGGCACTGAATCCATTCAGGTTAAACGTAAAATGTGACTTTGATTGGGGCCCAAAAAACAACAAAGCCGCCCCTGGAACCACCACCCTAAATAATAAAATATAAGACACAGTTGAGAAGATTTGCACAGGAACTACGAATTAGTTCAACTGCCCCCTTCTCTGTCACTTTCAGAATGATTACACCAAGACAGGACTCAATGTAACCAGAAGGGGGCACTCTTCCTTCCACACTTCAGCTCATGCTGAGATGGACATGAACCACACAGCTGTGAGAATGAAGCAGGCCAGAGATTTCTGAAGCTACACGTGATGTTTGCTGGGGCAGCAGCTGCATGAACACCCAAGATGGTTGCTGAGGACTGAAAGTACAGCAACGTGACCCACAAGCACCCTACATCTCTGGGAGCAGCTGCAACTGAGCTGGGAGGGTGTGTCAGGTGATTACCCTGCTGAAACTTGTTATCCAAATTCCTCGTGTTTGAGATGTTAAAACTAAAGGGCAGCTTTTCAGAAGAATCTAAGATTTAGAGACGATTTTCAGCTGAACAGTGCTTTGCTATTTTCTGTTTCTATTGTGTTCTTATTTCAAGTATTTACAGAAAAATATATGATGTAAAACACGACGGAGAAACATCAAACTTCACTCTGCCGCGACACACAGGCGTGTTTAAAGGCCCAGGGAGTGTCAGCCTCACATGGGGGACTTTAAACAGATAAACCTCAGTCACCATGGTCCCTGAGACCCTGCAGCCAGCGTGCTGACGGCGCGGCACTTAACACTCGTGCTGCTTTAACACTCGCCGCACGCAGACCGGAAAGCTGTGAGACGGGAGATTATGTAAGCTGGTGTCGCTTCCTGGAGCTCAGCTGCTGAGAACAGCGGATGGGTAGCAAACAAACAAATATGGAGGAGCAGGAGGAGGAAGAAGAGGAGGGCCTCACAGAGTGAGATCACCTTACAGTCACAGTGAGTTCCCTGCCAGGAACCTTCATAACTGCTAATTGTTTAATGTGGTGAGATCCATCCATCCATTCATTCATCCATCCATCCGCTTTTCCAGACAACGCCTCCTGTTTTTTAGACAGGCATACTGCAGACATACATCCTGAGTCTTGCACTGGTTTCGTTGTGCCAGTCCCAGATTTGGCCCGCTTGTAGAGGGAGGGGTCCTGAATGTGTCTCCATGTAAATTCAGTCATGAACATCAAGTAAAAACTAAACAGCTGTGACCCCAGAGCCGTGCAGGCGCACCAAACACGGCGTCCCGCGTCCCTCTGGCTACAGCCGCTCCTTTCTCCTTCACCTCCTCGTGTCATGGATGTGTCACCAGATAACATAATGCTCTTTCTCTCTATTTATTCTTCATCATTGACAAGCTGAGCATATTAATTTGATATGGAGTATTAAGTCATTACATAATGAATATTCTTTTTTTAGTCATTTGAATGGACTGGTTAAGTCAGTCTCTGTGGGTACTTCATACTGAGAAGCTTTGGCCCCCCCCTTGCTGGTGCACAGCATCAGTGACACAGGGTGAGACTTTTGAGGGGTGTTAACACAAACTCCAGCTGTCAGACTCCCACTATTACCTGGGGTGTGAGATGCTGACAGACCACTGACCTGGGGGGTCATCCCATGATACGGATACAGGATTGTGACAGACCACTGACTGGAGGGAGGGGGGTGTTATCCCATGATTCATGTCACTAACCTGGGGAGTCATTCCATGACACACATACAGGATCGGGATGTTGTCGGTATCCGGTCCCTGGTCCAGACACAGGTCACTCCGAAGAGAGTTTTGCAGCTAGGGGAAGCAGATGGGGAGAGAGGAACATCAGAGCCTCATGGAAATACTCTACTACTCTACTCCACCCCCAGCCCTGAACCAGTTCAGCTTAGTCATTCTGCAGCCATAAGCTGAGGAGGCTGGAGTTGGGGATCCAAGGAGTTTAAAGTCACAGCTTCTCTACCGAGCAGGATTTTTTACTCTGTGAAATTCTAATTTTGAACTACAGGATTATACAGTGTGTTAAAAAAAATCAGGTATAGCTTCTGACCACAAGTCCTCATGAGCTATATAGTTTGTAGATCAGAGGTTGGAAGACGAATGGATAAACGGACCGACCAATGGATGGAAGGTTTGTTGGTCCATCTATTGGTCGATCCGTTGGTCGGTCTGTCCTTCTGTCCATCTTCCAACCTCTGATCTATAACCGATCCAATGGTTCTCAGCCACAAAAGACTGACAGTTCAACCTGCAGGGTTCAGTCTGTCACACACAGACCACCGGCCATGTTCTCCTGGCCAGGATCATACTCACCACACCATATGCAACGGTGCTGGTGTAGACCCTCATTTCTGGGTAGACGTTCTCCAGGTACCACTGAAACGTTCTGCACTGTAGTCGTTTCCTTAGGGCCTTTCGCTCAGAGACATCGCCAATGTTGATCCCGGAGTCCTACATGCATACACACAACAATGCACACATGTACATTATAGGCTACACAGATTCGAAAACACATTCCAGCCAGGCAATTGGATGGTGATGTGGACAGACAGGGGACAGGAAGTGAGAGCGAGGGCTCTGTCAGGCTAAACACGTCACTGGGGGACACAGGGGGAGTAGACAGGTAAAGTAGGATGTGACATATCTAGATGGGCACATGCAGTGAACAAGGATATTTTGAGAAGATTGACAGAGCAGTCAATGAACAAGCACAGTGCTTAGGCTGAGGTCAGTTTATTGTTCCTGGGGCCTCACTCAAAAAGTCACTTTCGGTGTCCCTGCCCCCCCCCCCCCCAGATGATTCAAAAACTAAACAGCCAGTGAGTAGAGTCAGGAGATCATAGCTAGCTAGCTGGTTAGCTGAATATGCTGCGTTAACATCTAAGAAGAAACGTGTTTATTTAATATATATTTAGTGCAGTGACTGGGGGCCCTAGTCAGACGTGTGGTTTGAGTGGAGGTAAAACACAGGTGAAATGGGAGTGGGGTGCTCACCTCCTGCGGAATGTTCCAGGCCATGTAAACGTGGCTCTTGAAGTCATCCATCCAGACTTCGGCTACACGTAGGGCGTTCCTGCGCACGTGGGCCGTCAGGTCCTCCGTGTAGGGCTTGTGGGCGCGCTCGATGTGGGCGACGCGGGCACAGGGCAGCACCTCAACACTGCCCCCACACTGCCACACCTGGAATTGCAGGCAAGTTAAAGAAGGAAGATTTGTGGTCAAGGACCATATCTAGAGCCGGGCGATATCATGTCGATATTATATCATACATGTGCAACAATCACCAGGGCTTCAGATGACAGTGGAAACATTTGGCTGGATGCCAGCTTTTCGGTATTATACGGACATTTATTTACGCCCACAATTTGGTAAACAGTTTAGTAGTACAGCTAAAATATTAATGGGGCATTTTATGATGCCCAAAAGTATAAATTCGACATATCCTTATGTTTAATAAACGTGTCCGACCTTAAACCGCAAAAGGTACCACCACAACGCCGACGTCTTTTAATCTTGTTTATCCACAATATCTCCTCTTTTAAAAGATGTCATGGCTGCTGCGCTGTGCCTTTCTTCACCGCCACTTCAGTGCATATCGCCCTGAAGTATACCAAACCACAGTATACCAGAACAGTATTATGTGGTGTGCTCCGTTAACTGGCTGCTTCAGGGATGCGATCAAACTGCAGTACTGTCAATCGAGGTGCTTCAGATATTGTGTATAAATCATAAATAAATAAAATCATGACTATAAAAACAATAGTATAACTAATTATAGAAAAAATACTAAAAAGACAGATGAGCCCAGGGGAGGTTAACTCCAAGGTTAGAGCAGAAAGGGTGACAGATACTAGATTATATATTATTATATATTACTACTTCTAGGTTTGACCTAGAATTATGGAGTACTTTTAAAACTGTCCGCCAAGAGAAGGATATCTGATTTTTATAAGAATAGCAGCATTATTCATTAATAACAACGCCTCACTAAACAATAAGCTAATGCTGCAATACAATAATATATTCCAGATTTTCATAAATTACCATATGGCTTTAATTACTTTTAATTACAGTGTCTGTGCATCCCGCGTGTTTTTGGAGACGAAACATCCATTATCTCTAATCAAGCTGCTTATGTAGTTTGTTTGTTCACTTTCCTGTCGTAGGTCGTTATCATCAGTCCATCAGTGAACGCCGCTGTGAGTCAGCCCGTCGGATGGGTTATCACCTGTAGCAATTGCTGTGGGTGATTCAGCATGAAGAACACCCTCTACATGTACTCACCGCTGCAGTATGCGTACAATCATGCCACCCAAAATGCGCACGATAATCCTGTTGATGTTACAACAGGCCAAACCTAATAGTCTGGTGTTACTACAGCCTATGGTTTCCATGGGGAAACCTAAAAATCACCTCTAAAAGTGAGTGTCACACACAGAGCCAGAAGCACATTAGGGTGTTCAACCTTGAAGGAGTGAGGGTACAGCCCCCCCCCCCACCATGCTAACCCCAGCAGGATTCAATTCAATTCAGTTCATTTCAATTATATTCAGTGATGTGTATGTTCTCTGATGGACTGGTATCCCATTTATTGACTCTGCTTCCTTTTGACTTGTGTGTCCTGGGAAAATCTTCAGACTCACTGCTCCCCTGTATTTGATAAGCAGTTCCGGAACTATTAATGACTGCTGAATTACTAACATGAGAAAGTCAACAGCAGACGTTGTCAGGCTTGCATGTGAGTGCAATATGGTGGACACCTACTCTGTTTTTACAAATCACTCACCAGAAAGATAACGTATCACCACAGCCTCAGAAGTAGCTGGAAAATTAGGTTTTGGATGTGGAAATGTGTGTAGCAATCCATTTGTGGGGGTAAGACTGAACATGCCATTTGTTAATCTGAATCATTAATCATATGGAAAGACGACAGCAAATGAGGCAAGGAGAACCGGCCCACAGTACAGAATTGCTCACTCTTGATTGGCCATACGTTTGTTTGCATTTATTTTGCATAATGTCATTCTAAGCTCCACCCAGCCTTTTGTAGTCACTAGAGTGTCCTGTAGTGAGTAGGGGTATTTTTCTCAATATGCGTACTTGACCATTACTTGTGTTTCACGTCATCTTCCATTGTCGAAGACCAGTTCCAATACTCAAGAATAGAAGTGCAGAGGATGGTAAAAATCACTGGATGTTGTTCTTGCCCCAACCAAATATCAAGGATACATCGGTTGCATCCACGCTGAATGATACTAATCCCATGATTCATTGCGGCCCAAGTTCCTTCTTGGAAGGCAATTTAGCAAGACCAGTCTTGCCAAGACCACAAGTACGACCCTCGTGTTCTTGGTATTGAGAAACACCCAAGGTCTTTGCAGGTCTGCTTACCCCGACAAGGTTACTGAGAGCAGTACATCAAGGAACAGCTGACCTATCAATGCATCCCATTCAAACCCCACGTCTTCACCAATTACCAATCACAAAAGTGCCAGCTGACATCACATAAGATGCGAGAAAGAGGCTGAATGCAAAACAATGTGAAAGGGGTCAACTAGCTGATCCACCCAAATAATGGCATAAGTCTGTAGGAGTCTGTAGAGCTAAATGCTAAGAAGCTAAGGTGTATATGTTACTGTGGCTCTGAGGTTCAGTGCCGCTTTAAGCCGATATCCATCCTCCAGCTGTCACCTCACAGCATCGCCTGTTAAGCACCTCATTACTGTCCGTGCAAATATGTGAACTGGCTTGAAATGCTGTCAAATTACAGACTAATCCCAGTAAAGTGGCATGTTGCTCTTCAGCAATTAAATCAGCAGGATCTTCTAAGTTTTAAGACTGGATGGATTTCTGTTGTCTTGACATATGTGAGTACCTTCTACTGTATGATAAAAGGAGAGGAGACAACAGGAGAACAGAAAAATGGGCCACATTAATAGGGTACTGTTTTGAAACCTGACAGCACTGGAAACTCTGGTGATCAACGTAACTTAACACAACATAACTGTTTCCCTAACCAGTCCTCAGGGGCCCTAGACGGTCCATGATTCTGCAAAAATGTGGACTGCCTGGCAGAGAGCTGGGAGGGAGCAAAAATGTGAATTTTCTGGCAGGGAGCTGGGAGGGAGCAAAAATGTGAATTGTCTGGCAGGGAGCTGGGAGGGAGCAAAAACATGGACTGCCCCAAGGACCGGGTTGGGAAACATTGATCTATATGATCTTAACAGTGAATCCACAATTACAGGAGGAGACTCAAAGAGCCAGCCATCCATTTCATGTGACAGAGAGGGTTTCTCTTCATTAGGCAGTAGTCAATCCAAAATGGCAGGGATGTTATACACCATGAAGACAAAATGTGAAGAGCTCAACTCAACCAGTTTTTGGGGGACGTTCTATCAGACATGACTGCTGCACATAAAGGAAGCCTGAGTCTCAGTGGTGAGCATGACTCACCCTCACACTCAACTCCACATTTTCACCTCCGTAGACCTCCATCCCTTCATCCAGGAGGCCGATTTCCTCAAAGTACTCCCTGTCCACCACGAAGCATCCAATCAAAGCTGGACTCCTGAAGTGGCAGAGGTTGGATTGAGAAGAACATACCACGGACCTTCAGTGTCTCCTCAGAAATGTTCAATGAGAACAATGGGTGATGAGATCATATAAGGAACTACACAGGCTTCACAAATGTTCTTAATTCCCCGCACAGCCCAATTTATACTGGAAAGACAATCCTGTGACATCTTCAGTCATTGACATGTTCCTTTAGACAGGAGTATAGGGTATGATGAACAGCCTGTAGAAACATTTACATTGAAATGTATGCCTGTTAATTCTGCGTGAACTGATACTCAATAATTTTGTATCCTTGGGCTAGTAAATACTATTTTAGAAAAAGGTCTTTGAAAAGGCATTCGGGTCATGAGTACAAGATGATCTCAAGGCCCACATACCTGATTGGGGCGGTGTGATTGGCTAGGTTCCACCAGGACTTGGGCGGATTCAGGTATCGACACCACAGTTCCCAGTCGAAGCCTTGGGCCGACAGTGGGTACTCCTCCACCTCAAACGTGTCGTACTTGATGTTGTCAAACGACGGCGACACAATACGGGTCCGGTCCTCTTTAATCCTCTGCAGGATGGGCTCCGCCCTGACATACGAGAGGTTACAGCTTTCATCAACGCGAGACGAACGGCACACATCTCGACTGAGAGCCGGGCTAATATTGCGTGATGACAAATCATGGTGACCCGCTGCTGTTTGAAGAAACTGGCATATTCTCATCCCTTCTGGTGATAAATTGTGGATTAGGTTTGGTGGAGAACAAATCACGGCTCTCCTGAAGGCCACAGAGGCCATCGATCACTGTCGCTTAAATAAACCTCCGGAGGCCAATCACTGTCTTTTTATATGCTTGGCGAAGCAGCGCTGTGATTAATATGGAGTCAGTCACTCCTTCTGGTATTAGGATGGCGGCTGCTGAGAAACTTAAATGAAGAGCAATCTGGGCTCATCTTGACATATTTACTTTATTTTTATTAAGAAAACGCTTATGTCCAAGGCAATGTACAACTGAGGCAAATAGCACATTACAGACATACGGCTGTCATGGACTTGACTAGGTATAAGTGAAGCTAGGCTGAGCGTCCAATGAATGCCCAGGTACAGGTGTTAGCAGGATCAGAGCAGGAGCTACACAACATTTTCCAACAAAGCAAGAACCTAAACAAGTCAACCACTCAGTCAGCAGAAAGTACGACACTAAGAGCATCCAGGGAACATGGAGTGGTATCAGGCTAGTAGAGGAATTCCTGGGTCTTGTGGTGTTTTTTGAAGGTGGAGAGGGAATCTAATGACCAAATAACCTGCAGGGACCAGTGACCTGTACTAGGAAGTGGGGTTACTGGCTTATTGGGGTAACTTGTCGGATTTAAGGTACCACAGTTTAAATGGACTTCATATTCGTTCACTTACATTTTGCCCAGGCTACCTTAAATCCGACAACTCACCCTGATAAGCCAGCAACCCCGCTTTGTAGTACGGGCCGCAGGTATCATACACAGGTCAACCAGCTGGAAAGCAGCCATGCTAATACGTATAGCACCAATGCAGATCGAAGGTGATCTGCAGCGTAACAGAGCTTTACAGTATACAGTGAAGGGCTAAATCTCACAGTGTTACAGTACAGAATGATGTGGTGCTCAGAGAAGTGTGTTTATGTTTACGTTTCGCCAATGAGAAGGGTGTGTATGTTTATGTTTCTCCAATGAGAAGGGTGTGTATGTTTATGTTTCTCCAATGAGAAGGGTGTGTGTTTATGTTTACGTTTCTCGAATGAAAAGGGTGTGTCTTTATGTTTATGTTTCTCGAATGAAAAGGGTGTGTGTTTATGTTTATGTTTCTTAAATGAAAAGTGTGTGTGTTTATGTTTCTTAAATGAAAAGGGTGTGTGTTTATGTTTCTTAAATGAAAAGGGTGTGTGTTTATGTTTACATTTCTCAAATGAGAAGGGTGTGTGTTTATGCTTGTTTCTAGAATGCTATTGTCTTTGATATAATAACCATGACTATCTGTGGATGGAAGAAGTTATTATGCTAGTATCAACTCCGGGCAACCACACAGACAGTCCATGTTTGGGTCTTGTCAATGACATGTTCATTGTCTTACTGCTTCAGTCTGGTCATTTGTGCTTCAAATGAAAGTTCAGTCTTGATCTGATGAGGAAAATCAAGTGCTTTTCTTATGGCCCATGATATTCAAAAGGTTCTTCGCTAAACCTTAATCAGTGCTCTTCCTGTCCTGCTGATTCACTGTATAGCTTTCACATTCACAGTTTAAGTAGAAGTACTATCTTATTATCTTATTACCATCCATCCAATTTCCAAGCACTTATCCAAAGCCGGGAAGCCTGGAGCTCATCCCTGGCCGCAAAGGGTGCAGTGCTGTGTACTCCATGGATAGGATGCCAGCCCATCACAGGGCACGGGGCTGGGTACACTCTGCATGGGATGCCAGCCCATCACAGGGCACAGGGCTGGGTACACTCTGCATGGGANGGGCTGGGTACACTCTGCATGGGATGCCAGCCCATCACAGGGCACAGGGCTGGGTACACTCTGCATGGGACGCCAGCCCATCACAGGGCACGGGGCTGGGTACACTCTGCATGGGACGCCAGCCCATCACAGGGCACGGGGCTGGGTACACCCTGCATGGGACGCCAGTCCATCACAGGGCACAGGGCTGGGTACACCCTGCATGGGACGCCAGCCCATCACAGGGCACAGGCTTGCAAACACCCTGGAAGGGATGCCAGTCCATCACAGGGAACGGGGCTGGGTAAACCCTGGACGGGATGCCAGTCCATCACAGAGCACAGGGTGGGGTAAACCCTGGATGGGATGCCAGTCCATCACAGGGCACAGGCTTGCAAACACCCTGGACGGGATGCCAGTCCATCACAGGGCACAAGGCTGGGCTCCACCCTAGGTGGGTGAAGGCCATATACACACAACAAAAAATTGTACAGATGCCTTTTAGTCTAACAGCATGTCTCTGGACTGTAGGAGGAGACCCACATGATATGGGGTGAACATGTAAACTCCACACAAACAGAGAAGGAGTTAACTATACTTCTCAAGAGGACATCATCAGTTTGGCAGGCCATCAATCATAAGTGCAGCACCCATCACTGCAATACTCAGTACTGCCCTATAGCCCAAACACACAGTGTTCCTATGGCGACATGAGCAAAGGTGTTCGTTACTCACCAGCCTGCGTTGAACTCCACATGGGCATCAAAGAGCGCCACCACAGGGGCAGTAGCCGCACGCCAGCCGCTCACCCGTGCGCGGATCAGCCCCTCCCGCTTCGTGTGCCGCACCACTCTGATGAGGCCGGGCCGCTGGCTGTTCGTCTCGGCAACAAACGCCTGCAAGTTCCCCTTCAGGTCCTCTGTGGGTACAAGGGGTCGGGGCATGAGCATCTGGGCTGGGTTAGGGTTGGGGTTCTGGTAAAGTCTAGGGAAACATGTGACGGCAGAGAATTGATCTCTGTCAACAAAATCTCTCAGCACAAGCTGTCAAACACAGCAAGCAATGTTTCTAACAATGCCATGTATTACACTGGCTGCCTCGCACTGGATCTTCATATCTTACGCAGTAGTAGTCAGCGGAAAAGTGGCACGTGTATAGCTAGCACTAGTCTACTAACTACTTGTAACAGAACACCTGACTGGTATCGCCCTTACCATTTGACCTCTAAACCTGGCAATGGCATGCCAAAAAAGTCTAATTTGGGCAGTTTTGTTTGGTAGTAACATGACAACCCCAAGCCTCCTTCGCTCAATACCTCATTTTCAGGGGACATCTGTCATACTCATGCTCCTGTGCTTTAACCATCATGGCAAAAAAAGCATCAGCAGGGAGACGTTCCTGAAGCTCCTGAAGCCATGTGACATCACGGGGTTCCCCCCCCCAACATCCTGACTTACAGTACCTCACCAGGGTTACTGGTGCTTCACTGTGTACTTTGGTGCCCGAACACAGGGCCAACCCTGCAGGTGGCAGGACACACCTGCCTGTTTCCGGCAGGTAAAAGAGAATATTTAAGTTCTAATGATGTATATTGAGTTGGTCGCAGGCAGTGCTGTGGAGGTCTAGTCCCAGTGTTCTTGACATTTCCCCAGTAAACAACACACTGCTCCAGATTAGCCAACTCAGAATTAGATGTAGCAATTCGCTTAAGTCTGGCGCCAGGATTGTCTCAAGCAGCTTGGGCCCTAGCTGGGGTATGAGCACCATGCCGACAGAGCATGTGGTCTGCACTGGCCGGCTGATTGTATTAACATGCAGCCCACAAGTCATTCATCAGCTCTGATTTGATGCAGAATACTAATCCTACCTATGAATTCAGCAGCTTACAGCAGAAGAGGTCACGGTTTCTTCTTCATACTCATTTAGTTTTTGTTTTGGTTGTTCTCCACTGGTTACATGGCTTCATTGATCCAAGAAATTTCTTAGGAAACGTTATAAAACTGAACAAACGCTTTTCTGTTATTTAAAAATACTGTAATGATTTTATTACCTGTCCTAGCAGATATCTGTTATTGCCTGTAAAGTGTTCAAAATGTTTGAAGGGAATAGAGAAATCAATAAATAATAAATAGACCCATCATTCACTTTCAGAAACTTCTGGTATGGCATCAGACAGTAGGATTTTAGAATTGCTGCGTGCATTTTATACAGTATTAAACTCATTTGATGTAGCACAAGTGTTTTCTATGTCCTTGAAAGACAAAACAGCTAATAAAATTGTTCAGACACACAGCACAGTGTAATATTACCAAGTAGCGTAAAATGGGCAGCTCTTAAAGTCCATTAACAGCAGGCTCATGACTTGGCTGCATGTGTCCCAATCGATGCGTTTGCTCAAATACGGGAGTTAGCATTTCTCCAAGTCAAACCCTCATCAAGGCATAAAACAACTGACATCAGTCCCAAGACAGCGAATCTCATGCTGATTCTCTGTTCAGCCCAGACACATCACTCCCTGCGTTTGTTTACCATCTACTGTCAATCCAGCTCCTTGATTTAGTATTTATGCTTTTCTTGTGTTGGTCCCAAACCCAACCAAACCTTCCAGCCCTGAAACGGGAGATTAACGTCAATAAACCTGCTCCCTGCTGCCAGCTCCCTGTATCGCATGATTCCATTCACCTTTCAGAGACCTTCTCCCAGAGTCCTTTGCAATACGAGTGATGACCAGAACTTGGCTTGCCAAGAGAAGTCATTGCCTTCCATTACATGTCTGTGTGAGCAGTCCTTTGACCTTTTACACAGGTCAGCAAAAGTCCACTTTAAGCATCTGCATGGGTTTTTCTAAATTCCAGTCAAATCACACTGTAACCTTACCCTGTCGTGATATAATCGTGATCATATGGCGCACACGCAATAATCACCAGAACTTAATAGGATGGGCATAAACAACTGTCCAGACACCAGCTTTTCATTACTATACAGATGTTTACTAACGGCCACAATGTGGTAAGCAGATTAGTAGTGCGCCTAAAATATTGAGAGGCATATTGTGACGTCCAAAAGTTAATAATCCGTATAAATTCAGAGTATCCTTATGGTTAATGTGTTGGACTTGAAACTACTAAAAGTAGTCTTCTTACCTTGTTTACACACAAGATCTCCTCTCTTAAAAGATGTTGAGCTGTCTCTTTCTTCACCACCACTTAAGTGCTTATAAATCACTTACACGATTTACCAAAACAGTAATCTGTTGTGTGCTCTGCTAGCCAAATTTAATAAACATAAGTCATAAGTCACAAATCATTACTGTGAATGCGATATGTGATCGTGATTATGTTGCACCAGCTATACCTGAAAGTAAGACCAAGGGACCGCTCTCTCTTAAGGCGTCCCTGTTGTTCCGGTTGTTAGTGCTTGTCAGCACACCCGCCTACACAGATCCTACCTACCATGAAGGACAGAGTCCCACAGACGGAGCGGGGCCTTAATTGTCAGTCATCATGGTAAAGCCAGGAATTTACTGCACTTTAGCAACACAGAAATGGCGGATTCCTGATGGCAGCCATAACATTTAGGCTGTGAAAATTACGTGTCCCAGCTTGGCTAATGACAAATGGGTAATAGGGCTAATGTGCACAGTTCCGCTGGTCCTACCGCACAATGGGTGAGAGGAAAGAAATGGGCCAGTAAATCATCAGCTGTATCAAAAGGTGAGCAGGATCTCTGCTGCTGATGGACATTAGCCTCTGTCCGTTGGCATCGGTATCAGTGGGTTTTGAGCTCCAAACCGACCAGGAAGTCTGCTTTTTATCATTCGGCAGACACTCCAGAATGTTCTCACCTTTTGGCACATCTCAGCTATCGAACTGCGGCGACAGGATTAAAGATGAGCGCATGACATTCTTCATTAATTAAAATGCCACTTAGGAGTGAAGCGAGAGCGCTTTCGGGCTTAGAAAACAAAAACACAAAGCGGAGCCAGATTAGGTTTTACAGTGTAACAGACACTAAATCACAGACATGGCCTACAGACTGAAAACAGCGGGGTCCGGGAAGGCTGCAGCTACAACACGGTATTCCTTCCGGGCAATTTATGTTCCAGTTTCCTCCCAAGAGCTTATTGTATATTTTCATCATCAAGGGAGCGTGTTGGGGGAACATCTGCATTATGAATGAAAGGCAATATTAATAGACCCACTCACTGTGGCAGCACCAAAGAGCGGCATAACCACAAAAACATGGCTGACTGGCGTGTACTATACAGGCTGATCACGATAATTCCCTCCAAACGGCGCTGAAGTTGGATTTTCTTTGGATTTTGGAGGACATGTGGGAGCTGAAGTTGGTGTTCATCTCTAAAGCTAAGGGTTTCAGGAGAAACCAAAAACGACAAATCGTGGAACGAAAAAATGGTGTATTTTCATTTGCGGAATGGGAAGTATGACGCTATAAGAGTTTAGCATGTCGATAACAGGCAAAATGGGAGTTCTGGTTAATAAAAAATAAAAGTAAAGCTATGAACACAAAAATGTGTGCTTATCTGCTGAAATTCCATAAACTGGAAAAAACACATTCTTTGGCATCCTACATAACCAAGATCACCTTGGTAACCAAGGTCAGCAGGCAAACAGAATTACAAGAAAAGTGTAAGCAATAGTGCAGGCTCCTTTATACTTGTTGGTTACCACATGCAGGGATGGGTCTGCTGCACCACTGAAAAAGTCACTTCAGCCCCCCCTAACTGAAACGACTAAATAAGCAACCAGAGAGAATCAGAAGGTCATAGTTAGCCAGCTGGTTAGCAGAACATGCTGCTTCAGCATCTCCAAAATAAAGAATGTGTTTATTTTATATTCAGTGTAGTGACCCTTTCTGGACAACAGGGGACCAGGTTTGAGTGGTAATCATCTCTGCTGACTACACATATATGAGAATCCCTTCATTCAGAAAGGTGCAAGGAACCATGTGACATTGGGATCAGACTGGGAAGAGTCCTTTATTGGGTGCTAGGGCAGGGACGAGTAAAGCGCCACAGAAAGGGAGTGCATTGGGAGTGCTTTGGGAGTGCTTTGGCAAACAGAAGACTGTGAAACGCATAAAAGCAGCCAGGGTATCTGAGGACTGCTTTATAATCTTTGGGAGAGGTGTGTGGCTCAGCAAATTGAGTTTCTTTAATCAGAATGTTGTGGGGTCAAATCCCTGGGCCAACAGAGTGATCTCACCATTGGGTTCCTGAGCAAGGCTGACCCTACTTTCTAAAGAAGACAAGCGTCTCTTTTCAAAACTGTTTGTTAAATTAATCAAAACATTATACAGCCCCAGATTCCTACCCTCCCCCCTACGGCACCTAAAAGTCACACACTTAGGTCTGCAAAAGAATGAAAAACAAAAACTTGTTGGCATGACAACCACTGGACTTTAGATGATCTCTCCATGGAAATAGACATTTAAATATTCCAAAAGTTAGTCTTTAGTTTGATTGTTCTGGGTAACACTTCATTACACGCAATTCCCCAGAGTGTCCTTAATTTATTTTCGCAGCGTGTTCGTCTCATTCAGTGAAGCAGTACTGCAGCGATGTGGGTCTAGAATCCAACTTTCAAAACACAGTACTGGAGTGCGCCCAGGGAGCAGAAGCGAGGGTCGCCTCACCGTTGCTGCTGTTGTCGTCCACCAAGATGATCTCCTTGAGCAGGTGGGAGGGGGTCCTTCGGATGGCTGAGCAGATAGAGCGCAGCACCACTGACAGGGCCTCGTTCACGAAGATGAAGACAATACTGAGCTGGGGGAGCTGGCTAGCGTACGACAGATTCCTGCACCTGGGAAACGGAGAGCAGCATTCAGGCCCACCGAGGTCCATTAGCCAACTGGGGAGGTGATATGTGGTGTAGAAGGTTAGGATGTAGGGCTTGTGATCAGAAGGTCACTGCTTCAAATCCTATGACCAGCAAAGTCATTCCACCTTTGTGTCCTTGAGCAAGGCTCCTAACGCCCAGTAAATCAGAGATTACCAATTAGATTGTAGAGGAGGTGGGTCCAAGCAACAAGAGGAGGTGGGACCAACCAATCAGAGGTCTTGGTCATGCCCCCTCCAGTTGCTTGGACCTCTGAACCAATCATTTTTCATTCTGCCCTTAGAACATTGTGTAAATTAACTCCCACAAGCAAAAAAGTATGTTGCTCTGGATATAATAATCTGCTAAATCTGGAACATAGCCACATAAGTGAAACTGGGTTCTCCGATTCCAGTCCTGGGGGCAAGTCTGCAACACAGTTGGAAATCTGCAAACTGTGTTACAGACTGGCCCTCCTGGACCAGAACTGGGGAACCCTGTAGCAAAATAATGAGTTTGAACCCCCTTGGCTACAGGCATGTAATAAATAAAAAAATATATATAGTCATTGTATATGCCCAGTTTTTCTATCCTACCACTAGAACCTCCCATCCAGCTAATTTTCTCATCAAGCCTTTAACACGTCAGGTGTGCTGGCGAGGGGACGTCCACAGGACCCGTTAAGAAACGCCACTGTGAGCTTAAAGCAGGTTAGAACTTCATTAGCAAAGGGCATCAGTGCCGTGTCACAAGACGGCCAGATTTAATACATGGGTCCCCGGAGACCCAAGCACAGCGGCTAAATTAATTAGCGAGGGCACTGGTACATAGCCAACTGCGGAGTAGCAAACAGCAGAGCCAGCGAGGAGATTTCAAGTAAATTAAGCCTACTTTCTCCATGGAATTACTTTTTTTTAGGACTAATCATATTGACAGGTTTATCCATCATGATTTATTTCATCTGTTTCGGGGTTACTGGGCTATGTCGGACATGTAACCCTGACTGCATGGGTTAGCATAGCTTTCCTTCTCCACAAAATGCCACTCGCTTTAACCCTACTAACATGGGTCATTCATGATGGGTGATGGTAACAGTTCATCTTCTTAACTTTTGTGGTCCACTTGTCTTTTATCCAAACCACAAAATGCTGGTACGTCAGTTATATTCATGGGTGCCTCTCCTGTCATTTTAACAATTCAGGTATTCTGGTTGAGTATCTCTACTTTTTAAATATCTGCATGAATTACACTCATTAGAACATGCCGTTTCTATAAAACATTTCCAGCAGGAGGCTGTCAAGCATGTTTCCTGCTAATAAACTATCCCTTTGTAACGTGGCTAATACGCTAACACAATGTTCCTTTTCAGCACTGCTAACACGAACATGTTCCTTTGTGATGTTGCTAACATGCTAATGCTAACATTGTTCTGCAGCACGGCTAACATGCTAACATGTTGTTCAGCAGCAGTACTAGAGTAGCCGCCCTACTTAGGGTGACCACATAATCCATGTCAGGGAGGACATTTTGAGCTACTTCGGGTTTTACAAACTACTTTCAAACTGAAAGGCTCCTGCGCTCGACTAAATAGTTCAGCTCTTCTTGTGCTTTGACTGGTTTGTTTCCTTGACTGAAAGACTCATCCAGCTGTTTCACATTAACATTAGTGACACATGCATGATTATAGGAGACTGACCAATCAGCACACAGCAAGAACTCAGTCCTCAAGTGAAATCCAGGTCCGTTTAATTGAAATGGTAATTTACGATGTCCTAGCCCAGAGTGTCCTCCCTGACATGGATTATCTGGTCACCCTAGCCCTACTGGCAATATTAAACTTAGCAGATGCAAAGCACAGACTTTTGTATAAAGACTTTGCAAAATATCCCAACGAGCTACACATCAAGACACCAGAAACAAGGAGAAAGTTTTGGAAAAGTTCTATTAACCGTGAGGTGTACAGAGTTAACTGTTTGGTTTTTAATGCTTTCTAAAGTATTATTTTTCAGAAATCCTTTAGTCTTCACAGGTGCAGAGCTGTAATGCCAACAGACACCGATTACTCCAATAAGCTGTTTTTTTTCTTAACTGGACTTTAAACTTGTCTTCCACTTCCTTTTTATCCAACATTCCCGTGCTTACCCGTCAGGCCTGAGGTCCGGGATCGGCCGATCCAGCGCCAGCCGGTCGCTGAGGTAGCCGTTGTACCCATAGTACTGGAACTGCATCAGTGCCGTGCGCCGGCCATCGGGGCTGAGGTCGCGACCCCAGCGTGTGAACAGCGAGGAGTCCGACAAGGAGCTGCCGCCGCCTTCGTCCGGTTTTTGGGGAGTCTCTACAGGCAACGGTAAATGAGCAGGAGAACAAGCATTAAAAACTGCTGCGAGCTCCCTTGAACACAGGTGGGGAGGTGATACGGGGGGAGGTGTTAGCCTGGTTCACTCTCCAGCTAGACTCAGAAGTGTTTCCAGAACTTTCTCTCTCACCATCCCGGTAATCAGCACAATGCAAGTAAGCCGAAGTGGAAATGCTCGGGTATCCATTTTCTTTTTTTTGCAGACAATCCATCAGCTGAATTCCACCCGCCACCTAGTTTGTGTCTTGAGGAGTAACTTTCCCCGCCACGGAACAGAGGAGTTGGCTGAGGGTGTCAGCGATTCCCTCCACTGCGGCCCTCAGGGATTTAAGCAGCGTAACAGCTGATGGGGTATCAGCGGTGGCATCGATTTACTGGGGGGGGGGGGGGTGAAGCGCTCAAAACCAGCTGACTAGCGGCAGCTTAAGCTACATGTCATTACACAGCACATGCAGCCTCTGCGTGGCCGGATCCGTGCGCTAATTGGCATGATCCGGAATGTCTCGGTACTGTAAGCGATTAAAGCTGGAATTAACGCACAAAAAACAGGATTCAGGGAACAGTGAGGAAGCTCACTTCATACCTACACAATAAATCTGCCCAGCAGAGTGAGCATTCTTCCACTTTGGGAGGATGCCAGAGGATATCTGTCCAAATAAACCCAATATCTACCCATATATAACATTTATAGCTGTTTTTTTTATTGAACTGTAGAAATTTGTGGGAGAGTACAGGTACCAGAGCAGGGGTCCTCCTGAGATGTAGACCTTTAGGTTACAGTTCAGCCAGAGACACAGCTATGATTCCTCAAGCCTGGGTGCTTTCCCACCACGGGAACTTTTTTCCAGAACCAGGAACTTCTGTTGCATTCCCACAGATTTTAGTTCCTCTGAGGTACTTTCTGAACCTTTTTTTAAGTCCCTACTCTGGGGTAGGTACTTTTTACACAACCAAGAACTCCCAGGTTGGGCTTATAGTAAACATGGTGACTGGTTGACCACATAAGCACTGGGGCGAGCGTGGAGGTTATGTGGAAGTGTGGGGAAAATAGGAGTGGTGGAGCAAAAAAAAAGTTTGTGGAATTATTTTTGTATCTCAGTTACATTACATACCTTAATGTGAATTTTTTGCTTGCGTCTGCATATTTATTGATCAGAAAATTTGATCGATAGCTGATACATTTTACTATTAAATAGCCAGTGTTGGCAGTGAAATTTGACACCGGATTCATCAGACAACGTCCTTTTACATCCCTGAGCTTTCACCGGATTCACCAGACAACGTCCTTTGACATACTTGAGCCAGGCAACATTCCTCTACATCCCCCAGCCTTCACTGGATTCACTAGACATTCTTCTACATCCCCCAGCCTTCACTGGATTCACTAGACATTCCTCTACATCCCCCAGCCTTCACTGGATTCACTAGACATTCTTCTACATCCCCCAGCCTTCACTGGATTCACTAGACATTCCTCTACATCCCCCAGCCTTCACTGGATTCACTAGACATTCTTCTACATCGCAGAGCCTTCACTGGATTCACAAAAAATCATGTTCATTTTCAAACATTATACACAGAAATATTGATTGGTCTATTTTTAATTAATGACTTACAGGCTACCTGTCTTTATCTCCATTGTATCATATTTATTGCTTATTGTTCACTCATTGTTATATTTCATACAAAGAAGCAAATTCATGCATCACATTAATTCATAAGCAGCACCTGTACCTGTGTGATTATATGGCTCTGGTTGTAATTAGCCAAATCTGGTTCTCACATATTATGGTAGATGTACATTGAAACTCCATTTCAGTAAAGTTGGGACATTTTCTCGGACGTCCCAGGAAGTGACGTCAGCTTGATGGTGCTTTCCCTGATAGCGACCTGGATGGTCGGTTTCATCTTTGGCACAGAGAACTCCACGCCCGTTTTTTGTGAAATCAAGCAGAAATGTGGACTCATCTGACCACAGCACACAGTTGCACAGTCTTTCGGTCCATCTGAAATGAGCTCGGGCCCAGAGGACTGGCTGGCGTTTCTGCATAGAGTTGATGTATGGCTTCCCCCTTGCTTAATACAGATCCAAGTTGCATTTCTGGATGCAGCGACGGACTGTGTTAAGTGACAATGGTTTCCCCAAGTACTCCTGAGCCCAGGTGCAATATTTGTCACATTAGCATGACGGTTTTAGGCAGTGCCACCTGAGGGCTCGAAGATCACGTGCATTCAACAGCGATTTCCGACTTTGCCCGTTACACGATGTCTCTGCATTCTCTGAATTTTTTCACAATATTATGTACCGTAGATGTCGCAAGACCTAAATTCTCTACAGTCCTGCGTTGAGGAATGTTCCTTTTTCAATTCTTTCAAATTTTGGCACAGAAAGGTGGAGCCGTGACCCATCCTTACTTGCAGAGACTGAGCCTTTGATGGATGTTACTTTTATACCTCACATGATACCTCACCAGCTACCAATTAGCTTGCTTAATGTGGAGTCTTCCGAACCACTGTTACCGGAATATTCTGTGCACTTATTTTAACTCTCTCTCAACTTCTGCTGAGTTCCTTTGTGATGTTGCTAACATGCTAATGCTAAAGTACAGAGAAAAGATTTTCAGCTGTCTATATTTACAATTTAAAAACAATTAAACGCTTCAATACAACTGCTGGAAATCTTTTCTCTGTACTTTTGTCAGCTAAAATAAAAGTTTGCGTGAATAATATATTGCAGATTTTTGTTTTTATTGCATTCTAGAATATATCTCAACTTTTCTGGAAATGGGGTTTGTATTTTATTTGGATTATGCCAAATTATAATAAAAATCATAGGGCTTGGCTTTAAAATCTGAAAAAAAAGCTGCTGAACTGATCTAGTTTAAAGTCAAAGCCAAATCAGTGTCTGTACAGACTCAGTTCAGATGTACTGCGAGGTCAGAATGAGGTCAGTTCAGAACGCCAAATCCCAAGAGCTCTCAGAGAACACCTTAATACAGAGATGGCATAAAATAAGGCTGAGAGACACACAGTGAAGGCGTTTGGTCTGTATGGTCACAGAAAAACGCCACTCGGTGTAGACCGTGTCTGCATGTCATTTACGGAGGGCTTCAGGCAGAAAGGAATGAAGAGAAAATATCAGACAGAATTTTCTGGAATTCATTTCCATAAAAATATGAGCACATCCTGCGATGTAACGTCACCGCAGCAAAGAACTATAATGTCATCTGCTGTATGAAAGAAAAGATTCCAGAATGGGCGGGGTTTCGGTAAACAGTTACAGCCAATGAGGGCCCAGAAAAGGCAGGATGTCCATTCGTTTGTGGTTTGCATTCTACACAGAACCGTAAAATGGATATCAGAGCAGACACAGAGAAGACGGATACAGCTTTCTCTGTCCTGCATCTGCAGATGGATAAAGTCGTCCACTGAACTCTCCCAGCAAACAGCTCTAACCGACTGCTTGCTTGCGATTCCCAGTCCTTAGCCATTTGGAATGCTGTCTTGGCCGGTTCAGTGTATAACTGGAGAATCAGTAAGTTGTAATGAGCAAACGCTAATGGGTAGGGTTAAGTACTGACATTAGCATATCTAAATATTAACAGATTATTAAAATGACACAGCACAACTGTACAACTCCCCAGTAAATGAAATGTCCACTGTGATATTAAAAGATGCAACCATCCATATTCCAGTAACTTTCCCAGTACAATATCGGGGGATTTATCGGTGCATATTGTTAAAATAAACAACAGCTGAAATGATGTCTTACCTCATGTAAGATCACGTGTCTATAGAGTCTCTAATGGCTTTTTAGTAGATAATACAATAGAAACTAAAATTTCAAGTAGTGATTTGCTGCTGGGCAGGGGGAAAACTGCAAAGGAAAGACTCCCGCTGGCTTCTGAAGTCAGTTAGCTGAATGTAGGCCACCGAAAAAAGGGATAAAGCAGGGAACCTCCTGCTGGCCCCAGAGGCAGCGAGCCTGAACTCAGAAGCAAAGTATTCAGCTGCTGGCTATCAATGCACCAGCAGGAAGACAGAACAGCGTGGAAGACTCTCAGCTTTCTCAGATAATTATGAAAAATATATTTATCACAAAGTATTACATCGGAAATATTTTCATATATATATTAAAAAAACATGTAAACACAGCTACAGACCAAACTCAAGCTGAGGGATCTCAAACTGTGTTCACACTTAATAATGGGGACAGTTTGAGGTTAGTGTCCTTTGTCCACGGTGTCCCATTGTCCAGATTTAGGACTCTCTGGACACATGTTTGGCAGCTTCCAAAACAGTGTGGCCTTAACCATTTTGAGAAACTAAAGATAGCTGAAACCTTCAGGTTTCAGCACCTGATCACATTTTCCGCAAGGTGCGTGGGAGGGACTGTTAATCACTCACATGTTACCGGGCCCAAAACGACAGCTGAAGCTGCACAAACAGTCCTTCCACGGATGCTGTAAGAATAGGTAAGCGTCCTGCGATTCCAATGACATCACAGAGGGCTATTCCAGCTGGACCCCACATGGGTTCTTATAGAACAGGAAGATAAAGGTTCAAATCCAAGCTGCTTCAGGTAAGCACTGAGTGATTAACATAATAATAATAAAAGAATGTCTTCATTACTATTCTTTTTGTTAGTTCTTTTCAAACGATGAAACAGTTAGTCGTCCTCAGTCCTTTGCAGACTAAGTCACGAGGACTGTTTGCTGGCACATGCTAATAAAGTCTGGAGACAACAAAACCCACAGCTCCACTAATGTTTCACTTCTACAAAGACTGTAGATCTCCCAAGACCAGGGCTCCACAGCAAATACAGCTCCACAGCAAATACGGCTCCACAGCAAATACGGCTCCACAGCAAATACAGCGCCACAGCAAATACGGCTCCACAGCAAATACGGCTCCACAGCAAATACGGCTCCACAGGGAACATGGCTCCACTGAGACCACAGCTCCACTGAGACCACGGT